TCCCCCCCCCCCCCCCAACCCATCCAACTCAACTACCACCCTGAGTAGGTAAGGAGAAACGGGTGTCCCATGGAATGTGATATTTGATAATGTTTGAGAGACTGGGGTGAATTATAGCAGATCCCCCCTGTAGGGGGTTAACTTCTTTAATAAGTATCTCAGTAGGCTATTATTGATCTTAAACTATGCCACCAGGGATAAACCTACGCCACAGTATACCAGGGTTAAATCTTGCCTAGACCTGGCTTAATTATATAGATTTGAGTTTTGAATAATATTTGGATTATTTCAAGTAATTTGCCGGGCTTAATGATTTGTTAACCTTGACAAATGTTTGATTTAAACTAGAGATCAAAATAGTTTTAAAATTGGGGTCTTTAATATACTAGGGAGGGGTTGGAGAAGATATTAGGATGTTTAACGTTTAGTTGGGTTTAATCTTGGTTAAAGACTATGCTTAGGATTAGATTCAGGAAGGATTGGAGGGAGAATACTCCAGGTTTAGGTTTAGAAGGAGAATACTCTAGGATTAGAAGGAGAATGCTCCAGGTTTAGGTTTAGAAGGGGAATACTCCAGGTTTAGGTTTAGAGGGAGAATACTCCAGGTTTAGGTTTAGAAGGAGAATACTCTAGGTTTAGGTTTAGAAGGAGAATACTCCAGGTTTAGGTTTAGAAGGATAATACTCAAGGTTTAGGTTCAGAAGGAGAATACTCAAGGATTAGAAGGAGAATACTCCAGGTTTAGGTTTAGAAGGAGAATACTCAAGGATTAGAAGGAGAATGCTCCAGGTTTAGGTTTAGAAGGGGAATACTCCAGGTTTAGGTTTGGAGGGAGAATACTCCAGGTTTAGGTTTAGAAGGAGAATACTCTAGGTTTAGGTTTAGAAGGATAATACTCTATGTTTAGGTTCAGAAGGAGAATACTCCAGGTTTAGGTTTAGAAGGAGAATACTCCAGATTTAGGTTTAGAAGGATAATACTCTATGTTTAGGTTTAGAAGGGGAATACTCCAGGTTTATGTTTAGAAGGAGAATACTCTAGGTTTAGGTTTAATGGGAGAATACTCCAGGTTTAGGATTAGAAGGAGAATGCTCCAGGTTTAGTTTTAGAAGGGGAATACTCCAGGTTTAGGTTTGGAGGGAGAATACTCCAGGTTTAGGTTTAGAAGGAGAATACTCTAGGTTTAGGTTTAGAAGGAGAATACTCCAGGTTTAGGTTTAGAAGGATAATACTCTATGTTTAGGTTTAGAAGGGGCATACTCCAGGTTTATGTTTAGAAGGAGAATACTCTAGGTTTAGGTTTAATGGGAGAATACTCCAGGTTTAGGTTAAGAAGGAGAATACTCCAGGTTTAGGTTTAGAAAGGGAATACTCCAGGTTTAGGTTTGGAGGGAGAATACTCCAGGTTTAGGTTTAAAGGGAGAATACTCTAGGTTTAGGTTTAGAAGGAGAATACTCCAGGTTTAGGTTCAGAAGGAGAATACTCCAGGTTCAGGTTTAGAAGGAAAATACTCCAGGTTTAGGTTTAGAAGGAGAATGCTCCAGGTTTAAGTTTAGAGGGAGAATACTCTAGGTTTAGGTTTAGAAGGAGAATACTCCAGGCTTAGGTTTAGAAGGAGAATACTCCAGGTTTAGGTTTAGAAGGAGAATACTCCAGGTTTGGGTTTAGAAGGAAGATTACTCCAGGTTTAGTTTAACAATATAAGTTAGGTAAACATTGAAAAGAACAGGTTTTAAATTCTTGAATAGTATTATTAGTAAGTTATGTGTCCAGAGGTACATTTAAAGATTCATCAATTCTAAAAGGTGTTAAAAATAATCTGTAATTCGTATTAATTTCATATCATTCTTCATCTGTTCTGAGCAAAAGCTATGATATCTAAACACAAATTCTAGGTTTTATTATAAATCTACCCGCCTTTCTATAATTAAATCTTCATTTTTCAAATTGACAAACTAGTACCAGTATATTTCCACCAATGGTTGGTCTGCATTAGTATTTGTCGATAATAATCAATATGTCTGCTGATTAGACGACGGTTTGCAGATAGGACTGATATAAAATGTCTGCTGAGTAGACGACAATTTGCAGGTAGGACTGATATAAAATGTCTGCTGATTAGACGACGTTTTGTAACTACAGGCACTGAGCTTACTAAAATATGATCAATCAAACATTTTTGATTATTTCCTTAACTATAGTTTCATTTCTAAAGACTTATCTAGACAAAAAACATCGTTTTTAAAAGTGTAAAAAAATTCATCAAATATTGTTGCAAAACATTAAAATAAATATATACACCTTGAAAGCAGTGTAAACAAACCCTATCCAGCCAACCTTTAGTATTCAAACCTTGGTAGCGTTGTAAACAAACCCTATCCAGCCAACCCTTAGTATTCAAACCTTGGTAGCGTGGTAAAAAGTTCCAATCTCCCCTACCTTTAGTATTTATACCTTGGTAGTGGTGTAAAGAACTGTCCCCCTACCTTTAGTATTTATTCCTTGGTAGTGGTATAAAAAAAACCTTTTCCCTCTACCTTAAGTATACATACCTTGATAGTGGTGTAAAAAACTGTTCCCCTACCTTTAGAATACATATCTTGGTAGCAGAGTTAACAAACCCTATCCCCTTCCCTTAGGATACATAACCATGTATCGGTGTAAACAAACCATATCCTCCCTACCTTTAGTATTCATACCTTGGTAGCGGTGTAAACAACCCCTATCCTCCCTACCTTTAGTATTCATACCTTAGTAGCGGTGTAAAAAAAACCTTTCCTCCCCACCTTTATTATTCATAATTTGGTAGCGGTGTAAACAAACCCTATCCTCCCTACCTTGAGTATACATACCTTGATGGTGGTGTAGATCGGCCCCGGCGGCAGTTTCCTGTAATAATGACAAATAGGTTTATTTGTTTGTTTTACCGACAACTTATAATCATATATCCGATCTTTAATTAAAGGTAGGGGAATATGGACACAGAAGAGACGGGGGGGGGGGGGCGAACCCTGAGGAGAGAGACAAGGCAGCTGGATTTGTTTCACTGAGTTTGAGGGAAAAAAAGGTTCTTTTTATTTTTGAAAATTAAGAATGCAATTTGTAACTGTAATGACTCTAAAAATATTTCCAAGGCCTTTACGGGGATATATAAATTATAACCCGTTAAAAATACAAAGAATTATTTTTATTTAAAAATGAAATTTAGTTATAACAATCCTACTTTTATTCCACTTAAGAAAGATTATAACCTAGACGTATATCTATTGAAGAGATTGTCAATGTAAATATAATTAAAAGTGATTCTTTGGATAAATTTTAACTATTGGAAGTGGTTCCCTTTAAACATTATCTAAAATATCACGATACTATTGGAAAAATATCACGATACTATTGGAACTGGTTCCCTTTAAACATTATCTAAAATATCACGATACTATTGGAACTGGTTCCCTTTAAACATTATCTAAAATATCACGATACTATTGGAAGTGGTTCCCTTTAAACATTATCTAAAATATCACGATACTATTGGAACTGGTTCCCTTTAAACATTATCTAAAATATCACGATACCATTGGAACTAGTTCCCTTTAAACATTATCTAAAATATTACGATACAAACTTAAATAAAAAGTTGGTCTTCATTGTATTAATATAATCGCCTACCATTGTATTTGATTTTTTAAAATTTGATTTTTAATTTGTTTAGATATATTTGATAATTTGATAATCAATTAATACCATATTAAAATGGCATTGATAATAAAGTAAACTAAAAAAAATTAATATTATAAAATGTAATTTAAATCGACCATAACGGCTTTCCCTCACGTATTGGATTATACATGTGCGCGTATTTAAGAATTCTGATTTAAATTAATATTTCAAATTAAAACGGGTTTCCAGGAAAAGCCTTAATATATTTATAACTTTACATTTATTTAGTTAATGCAACTTATTATGCTTTAAATGCTTATAATGCTTAAACATTAAGACTTTTCAGAATTCAAATAAAATGGTTTGACCCTCTGACTTTATTAATTGGATAGTTGGCCAGATAATTCCTATTTTCATGAATAGCATAAAGACCTTTCTGGTTTTCTAGGCCAGGTCTATATATAATTATAGAAATAAATATTGATTCACCGTCAAACAAGGTATTCTGGGGGAATTAATGTAATTATCGACAAATGAAAGGGTTCCTAACCAATAGAGAACTGCTCTGCGTCCGCCATGATTACTACCCACGTGTAATTTCTACATTCTGTTTCCGGTTTCCATTAGCAGAGGCCGCCATATTGCCGCCATATTTTATGCCGCGATGTTTTCTCTCCGGACGAGTTGTTTAACCTCAAGATATATTTCAATGTCGGAATTCTAAAGAAAGATAATTTTTCAACTCATTATTGGTTTCATGGAGGCAAACCTAGCGGGACGGGTAGATTAATCAACATAATAAAGAATATCTACAAAAGTAAGATAACTGATACAAAAAAGATGGAACTTTATTTTTTCTGATTTCGATTTTAATTTGAGTATGGTTTATAGTACCTTTGATATTTCAAACTTTGACTTTTTAATATAGCGGAATTTATTGTTTGAAATAACAAAGGTTATATGAATCTTTAGCTGTATAACCCCTCTTATAAGAAATTGTTGCCCCCCCCCCGAGAATACTCTAGGTTTAGGTTTAGAAGGAGAATACTCCAGGTTTAGGTTTAGAAGGAGAATACTCTAGGTTTAGGTTTAGAAGGAGAATACTCCAGGTTTAGGTTTAGAAGGAGAATACTCACCCCCCCCCCCCCCCGGCCCCCCTCTATAAAGGAGGGGTATAGAATTTTGGGTGTAAATAACATACGGATGTTCAGTTAAAATATTTAATTTATTTGTTTAATGATGAGATATTACTTCTATAAACATAAAAAGTATACACGGAACTGCTGTCCTATCTATTAAGATAAAAAAGTGATGACGAGAGAAAATATATTTGTGTTAGTTTCAATCTGTCTTCTGTTTAAATATGGCTGCGGTTATATCTGTGATAATCATTCATTCTTTGATTCTTCTGTCATCAGCCCAGGATTGCTCAGAGTTTGTGGAGGTTAGAAATACAAAAAAATAACTAAAAATTATCGTTTCTGTTTTATTTTATTTTTAGGCAACATGTGGATTGGATGAATACAATATCATTAAAGTTGTAGTAAATACAACTCCTTCAGATTGTCAGGAGAGACTTTTAATTAAATATTTTTCTTTATGTAGACTAGATATTAAAGTAATGTTTTTTTTGCCACAAACTCTAATTTTGTAATCCCTATAACTTTGCAACCCGATCTCGTAAACCTTTATTATTTCAAACTATGAATTCTGTTAGATCAAAAAGTTAAAGTTTGAAATATCAAAGGTTTACATCACATGGTTTCAAAGATAAAGATATTCAAAAATTTTAGTTTGTGGCAAAAACTTAATTCCTTTGGTTGATCTGTCCTGGTGTTTGTTGGTTTGTTTGTATCAAAAAAACGGCTGAACCGATCTGGCCCAAACTTTTTATGGAAACTCACATGACCCATGGGAAAAGTATAAGGACAGTCAAAATTGAAAACTTTTGCCAGGAAAAAAATATCGACATTAATTACTTTAAAATGCACTAATTAAAATAGAAAAATCAGCGAAAATTTTAGAGCGATAAGAAGGGACAACTTTCAGAATGGTGAGAAGCTAAATTTGTTAATAGTAAAAGGGACAGAAAGCGCCCTTAAAAGCCTGTTGTTTAAAATCTGAAATAACCATGCATTTAAGCAAAATTTGACAAAATTTATAAAATTTATAAAATTTGTATTAATTTTTATAAATTTGAAAAGTTTCCATCTATCAGACACTTTGTCGAACCTCTCATCCTCCATGCAACTATTTCACTCACTACATAGAAGAGTGTTGGCTGCTTAGGTAAGAGTGGTAACATCTTATGCTAAGTGAGTGAATTATATCACAGAGTGCTGGATTCTTAGGTAAGTGAGTGCACATTATAGATAGAGAGAGCTAGCTTCTTACCAAAGAGTGCTGGATTCTTTGGTTATTGAGTGCATTATTTAAAAGAGTTCTAGCTTCTTAGTTAATAAAGTGAATTATATCACAGAGTGCTGGATTCTTAGATAAAAAGTGAGTGCGTTTTATATTAATGAGTGTTACATAGGTGTTAGTTAGTTTCTTAGGTAAGTTAGTGCAAGTACCTATGATATCAAAGAGTGCTATAAAGATAAGTAATTGCATTTTTTCAAAAAGTATTGGCTTCTTAGGTAAGTGAGTGCACATTATATTAGAAAATGCTAGCTTCTCAAGTGAGTGCATTAGGTAATCGAGTGAATTATTTTACAAAGTGCTGGTTTCTTAGGTAAGTGAATGGAACATTATATCACAGAATGCTAGCTTCTTGGGTAAGCAAGTGATCTATATCATTCACAGAGTGCTTTATTCTTAGGTAAGTTAGTCCACAGTATATACTTAAATTAAAAAGTGCTAGCTTCTTAGGTAAGTGAGTGAATTATATATATTACAGAGCGCTGGCTTCTTTGGTAAGTGAGGGTACATTATACAGTGAAAACCAGAACATTTTTGGAATAGGAATACGACATTAAAACAATAAAAGAGTGTTTTTAGTTATAACTTGAATATCTTATTAAGTGAAATGGGTCTGTATATTATGCACAATTGCTGTCTCATATTAATAAGACTATTTAAAGTCATAACTTGAGTCTAAAAGTCATCTTCCTATTCCAGAGTGTTCTGGTTCTCGTCTATATATATACTTTGCTTGTCTGTCTTTGCTTGTTTGTATCCAATAAACGTCAAAACGGCTGAACCTTTCGGGCCCAATTTTTTGTGGGACCTCACATGACCCAGGGAAGGTCATATTTCGGACAAAAAATAACCATATAATTATTACTGCAGAAAATATTGATTTGATTTGGTTTGGCACAAGGTAATAAGGCAAGGAAAGTTAATTGCTGTTACGTACTCTTTGCGTACATATTGAAACCAGTTCTCTCTGGGCGGTGTTTGTAAACAAGAATTGATGCATCAGTGTTACTCTAGTATCCGAGGAGTATCAAATCATTTAATTTTGTCAATTTTGATAATTCACAGAATAGTTTTCTATGACCAGAATATTTCATTGATTTTTTATTATGTGAAAGATAGATCCCATGTCAGGCTGTGACATCCGTCGTGTGTTTACTTTACCCCCCAGAGACAGTCAAAGATGCGTACACATCTAAAATAACTTTCTTTAAATTATAAATATTTGGTTTGGCATAACATTTAAAAATGGCGGACGCGTCAGCTGTTTTTCTTTTAGGAACTGTACGGACAAAGAGGTTTGTCAGGGCTGTATCAGTGGACCTGAGTCTCCGCCCATTTTCAGTCAGTGCCCCTGGCCCCCCGCCCCAACAACAACAACAACAAAAACCACAACTACAACAACTACCACAGATGCATGCAATCTTTCATATGTAAATATCTAAATCAGATTAGTTCATTTCTCATAAGTTTTGATAATTTTTGATTTTTTAAGAGATTTTACCAAAATCGTTAGGAAAAATATTTTGTTTCTTATGTGTGTCAAGAAAGTGTTTCATGATTGAAAACTCCGGGTTTTGGGTAATCCACCAAAAATTGAAGAAAAAATGATAAATTATTTCCAACCTTGTCAAGTATTCTTTGTTAATTAATCAATCATTCAACATTAATATTTATTTGAAAATATCCTTTACAATTTCTCTTAGTTCTCCATATTTAACTATAGATATATATATTTACACTGAGTGTCCGGCAAAAAAGTTTTTGTAGGTAAAGATGAATTCTTTAGATTAAAAATGATTCATGGATGTACATGGTTTATGTCTTTGAACCTCATCGACTACAAACAATGATGGTTTATTTATGTGATGCTATTGCAGGCTTTGCCTTCTTTTCAGTTTAAATATTGGCAGTGTTTGATATTCTAAACCATCCAAATATCACGAACCCAACTTTTTACTTGACGATCGATTCTAATATGTTTGCACTTATTTCCAAACTTTTGTTAATGTTGCTTGGGTTCAAGTACGATATATTCTAGGACATTAGTTGTGAGTTAACTGATGATTATGTTGTTGGGTTCAAACACAATATTACCTTAATTACATTCTAGGACATGAGCTGTGAGTTAACTGATAATAATGTTGTTTGGTTCAAACACAATATTACCTTAATTACATTCTAGGATATGAGCTGTGAGTTAACTGATGATAATGTTGTTGGGTTCAAACACAATATTACCTTAAATACATTCTAGGATATGAGATGTGAGTTAACTGATAATAATGTTGTTGGATTCAAACAGTAACACAATATTACCTTAAATACTTTCTAGGACATGAGCTGTGAGTTAACTGATGATAATGTTGTTGGATTCAAACACGATATTTCCATAAATATTTGTCAGGTAAAGAAACTTGATACTTCTCTCACAATCTAGTTTTCTATTCCATATAATCATGGTCTAATAACAATACAAATAGAAAACTATATGTCGTCTTTTCGTTTACAATAACCCGTAAATCTTGAAAAGACGACATCTAGTGTACTATCTGTAATGTTTTTAATCTATGCTTATATCTATCTATGCCACCCAAAATTAGAGCTTTTGTGTTCAAGCATTGACCTCAATGTTCAGGCAGATATACGGATTAATTTGATTCATCTTCGATATCCCATAGTGTCATACACTGTAGAAATAACTTTAATTGAGGAATTAGACATTGATCTTCCAATTTAAAAGTGCCAACATTGGATATTGAGATCAAGTGTTAAAGATTAACGATATCCACACAGCAGTTCCGACTTCTAATGTCATGAACCTTTGATATTTCATACTATGAATTCTTTTAGATCAAACAGTTACAGTTTGAAATATTTAAGAGAAAAGATTTACATATTCAGGGTGAAAAGATAAAGGAATTCGAAAATTAAAGTTTGAGAGGAATAATCAGTTCCTTATCAAACTTTTCATCATTTGCAGAAAAAAATACATACATTTTCTTCTATATTCTTATCGAAATGTTGAAGGTTTGTGAATTTAGTTTTGGATTAAAAACGGGATTTAAATGAAAATTTAAGTGTGATGAAAGCATGAGAGTGTTCAGTTCAGTTCAATATTTGTTATTAATTTTTATTGTCCAGGATTCGTGTCAAAAGGAGCCTGCGTGTAACTTCTATACTTGGTTTAAAGATACGAAGGATAATCTAAGTGCTCAGGTACACCTAGCTAGGGTTTCTAGATTTAGAAATCACTTTTACAAAAATTCGATGATTCCATCGAACAAGAAATTGGACGAAGTAATAAGTTAGTGACCAATTACTACGAAATTACATTTTTCGAAAGTAATTGAATTTTTGCCATACACTCCAATTTTCTAATCCCTATATCTTTGCACACTGATTGTTTAAACATTTTTTATATTGCAAACTTTGGCTATTTCTTCTAACAGAACTTAATTTGAAATATTAAAGGTATATACAACATCGGGTTGCAAAGATATAGGAATTAGAAAACCAAAGTTTGTGGCAAAAAAAAACCATGTCCTCTAAAAAAATTCGGAAAATTTTTCTATTTTATTCCTTTCATTGATGTAGCCTTGGTTTCTAAAGACATGTTAAACCATTAACAAAATAATCCATATAATAATCCATATAATAATCCATATAATAATCCATATAATAATCCATATAATAATCCATATAATAATCCATATAATAATTTACGAATTTAAAGATAAGTTTTATCGAGATATATCAAAACTTTTTGCGGAAAGGAGATTAATTAATAATAGATCGTAAATGCTTTGAACTGCGTGTCAATACGTTTTCGTTTTGTTTTCTTCTTCTAACAATATATATTTTCAGGAAGGTTGCTGGTTGGTGAAACAGTGTGATGAAAGTATTGAATGCCCAGGCTGTATTTCCGGTCCGCAATATCCGGATCTAGATTCTTGCAATTTGTAATTTAATAGTTATAATACACGCACCTCTGACCCTTCAGTAAAAGTAAATTCAACCTAAAGTCTGACCGCGTCAACCTTGTTGCACCGGCTAGTTCTATTGAGTGTCTGTTTCATTTACCCACTGACCGGTCGATACAGTACAAACTGGGACCAGAAAAGTTGACCCGGCTCGGAAATTCAAATGTACTACGGGTGCCCGTGAATATATATAACTGTAAACAGAATCCATAACTAAAAAGAATGAGATAATTTTGTTAACTTAAATCAAATCAAATCAAATCACAAGGGGCGGGGATGACAATGGGCTCCAGTAGTGGATTGGAGGTTCAAGTCCTTTCCGTGTCCTGGTTTTTCAGCCTGGACTTCTTTTTATATTTACGAAGAAGTTACAACGACCGTTTACTGGAAGGCGCGAAGTTCCTTGCCACATGACCAAATTTGAGCCATGCCTCACTTTTGGACCTCCTCCGTAGTTTTACATAAATTGTAAAATTTGTTGTAATCTTTACGATGTTACAATTTTAGCAAAATTACAATTTTTCGAAATAGAATCATAACTTGTAATTACAAATGTTTATTTATAAATACAGAAAAACTTTTCTTTCAAAGAAAATATCACAAACTCAATTTTCCAATCTCTTTATTTTTACAAACCAATGCTGCAGACCTTCGATATTCAAACTATGAATTCTATTTGATCAAATAATCTAAGATTTAAATCCTCAGATAGCTGCAAAGATGTTTAGAAAAACTTGAGTTTGCGGCAAAAATTCCTTTTCTCCTTTTAGTTTTTTTAAGGACTTTTAGCTTTGCACGAGTTTTTAGAATTTCAAATTCAAAGTTCATTTGCAAAAAATCATTAATGTATTCGGTCGTTCAATGAATATATTTAACATTTTATAATAAAATTTTGTTGAGAAACCAGCAGCTGTGGGAATTTTTTGTGCCGCCATATCAATCCTTTGGAATTTGATAAATTGAGAAATATTTCTAATTTTTTGTAACAGATAACTTTATCATGCTGGATTAGTGTACGGGGTGATGAATAATATGAATAATCTAATTCTATGAATTACACGGATCTGAGAGTACAGGGTGATGTTCAAATATGAAAAATCTAATTCTATGAATTACACGGATCTCTGTGTACAGGGTGATGTTCAAATATGAAAAATCTAATTCAATGAATTACACGGATCTGAGTTTGAAAACCACAAGTTGAAGATGATTTACATTTTTATGGCTAAAACTTTTGGCTGGCAGAGCTCTTACTTAACTCTATATCTATGCAAAGTGTAAACTTTTGAAGTGAAGACTTTAATTTTAACTCCATCAATATGGGATTGCTAAGAGAAACTAGAGAAATGATTCTAAGAGATCCCCAGGGGTGTATATTTTTAACTGGGAAAAATATCTAATATTTTTAACTGGGAAAAAATTATTTTTGGAGATCTGGAAAAAAATATTAATAATTTTTCATACTTTTTACCCAAAAATTTGTTAATTTTTCCCTACAAATCATTTCCCCCCCCCTCCAATTAAGTGATTTAAACCTTAAAAAATCATTTGCGCAAACCTCCCTAACTTTTGGGGGAAAAAATTATTTACAAGTAGGGNAACAAAACAAACAAAACAAACAAAACAAACAAAACAAACAAAACAAACAAAACAAACAAAACAAACAAAACAAACAAAACAAACAAAACAAACAAAACAAACAAAACAAACAAAACAAACAAAACAAACAAAACAAACAAAACAAACAAAACAAACAAAACAAACAAAACGAACAAAACAAATAAAACAAACGTAAAACTACAAAACAAACAAAACAAACAAAACAAACGTAAAACTACAAAACAAACAAAACATAGAAAACAAAGAAAACAAGGAAAACAAAGAAAACAAAGAAAACAAACAAAACACACAAAACAAACAAAACAAAAAATACTCTTGGGAAAACCAAAATAGATATTATTTACTACGGCAAACAAAAATACTAACAACAAATTACAAACAATAACAAAACAAACAAAATGTAAAAGTTACTAAGACAAACAAAATACAGATATGCAATATACAACAACAAACAAACAAACAGCAAACAAAAACAGAACAAACAATGTTTAAAAGTACTTAAAAGTACAAAGACAAATAAATGAACAGTATAATGAGGAGAAACATAAATAAAACAAGAACAAATATTACAAAGGAAAAGAAAATGAATCATGGAAAACTATCGAAATAAGAAAGCAAGGAGAACAAGAATTAAAATATTATCAAGAACCTTTTTAGAAATCCTACAATAGAAAAGATTTCAAACCATTATTATATCTTAATTTTCTCTTTTGATTGAAAATCTTGGATTCTAAACACCCTGTACCCCTCTCTATACCCCCCCCCCCTAAAAGAATAAAAAGGTTGTAATAAACTCCGTTGATTGGACGGAATTTTTAATAATTGTATCAATTTGTCCCCTGTCATAAAGCTAATGAAAGCAACCAATGGAAACCCTCCCACTCCTGCCTACGCCTGAGTGGTGAGCTGGGAGGTATTAATTTGTGTCGAAACCAAGTTATAAATTGGACAGGGTTCGCCTGCTTTTTATATTTTATATGATCAATCATCTTCTTTGTTGGTGGGAGTGGGAAATACAGGGGTAAATTAGCGGGGCGTGAAAACCCTGTTTTTAGGAAATGATACTTAACTAGTTTGTTACTGATAGAACACAAATATTTGGCAAAAACTTTAGCTTTTGCCTTAGAACTGTTTACTTCTAGATTTTAATTTAAAGGAGGGTCCCAAAAACCTGCAATACCGAAAGTTAAACTTTTTTAGAAAAATTGTTTTTGAATAAAATAATTGAATAATTGTTTGGAAGTTGCTTAAAAGGAATATCGTTGAAATTTCCAGTGCTGACCCAATTCATTCAAAAGAAGCGTGCCCGCTTTACAACGTTACAATTTAAACCTTATTTTTGATTATTAATATGGGAGATATAATCGGTATTCTAGTTTTCACAATGGATGATCCTCACTATTTCCTTTATTGGATATGCTGCAGAAATGAGCAAGCCCGTTCCTTCCATAAACTACATTGGTCATCAAGTGAACAGAGAAATTATCTATCAGAACGGACTCTGAGATCAAATATAACTAATATCATAAATTGAACCAACACGAGTTGAAGAGATGGGTAAAATAAATGTTAAAACCACTTTTTATCCTTCCTTCTTTCTACTAAATGTCCTCTAGTTCATTTTATCTTCCTACTAAACCAGTTCTAATTTATTAAACCGGTACTAGTTCAGTTTACCATTCTACTGAACCAGTACTAGTTCAGTTTATCCTTCTACTAAACTAGTACTAGTTCAGATTCTCCTACTAAACCAGTACTAGTTCAGTTTACCCTTCTACTGAACCAGTACTAGTTCAGTTTATCCTTCTACTTAACAAGTACTAGTTCAGTTTATCCTTCTACTAAACCAGTACTAGTTCAGTTTATCCTTCTACTAAGCCAGTACTAGTTCAGTTTATCCTACTACTAAACCAGTACTAGTTCACTTTATCTTTCTACTGAACCAGTACTAGTTCAGTTTATCCTTCTACTAAGCCAGTACTAGTTCAGTTTATCCTACTACTAAACCAGTACTAGTTCAGTTTATCTTTCTACTGAACCAGTACCAGTTCAGTTTTTCCTTCTACAAACTAGTACTAGTTCAGTTTATCCTAATAAACCAGTACTAGTTTAGTTTGCCCTTCTACTGAACCAGTACTAGTCCAGTTTATCCTACTACTAAACCAGTACTAGTTCAGTTTATCTTTCTACTGAACCAGTACCAGTTCAGTTTATCCTTCTACTAAACCAGTACTACTTCAGTTTATTCTTCTACTAAACCAGTACTAGTTCAGTGTATCCTTCTACTAAACCAGTACTAGTTCAGTTTATCCTACTACTAAACCAGTACTAGCTCATGCTCGTGCACTCGAATCACTCTTGAGGTTTATAAGTTTAAAAACATATAAAACTTTATTCATAATATAGGGGTCATATATTCACAAAATACATAAATATGAGTATGACCAAATGGCTCACTATATTTATGTATTTCGTGGTGAAAACGAAATATCTCGTGCAATGCATAGATCTTATAATATTATGACTAATAATCACAGAATTAACAAAGGAACATTGTTTGTAAAGTTGTGACAGAATTTTTGAGACAATATTTTCAAATATGATCTGTAATATTTATCTAATGTTCATTAGATTGGAAATAATGACCAAAACTTATCAGAATTTTCAGTTTTGTTCTAACATAAAAACATATTACCCATTCCGAGAACGGAAAAACGAATTAGCTTAAGTTTAAATATTAAATGTAACCTTTTATTGATCATTATGAAGACCTATCACGGGCAGCCGTAGTACATATGAATTTCTGAGCCGGGTCAACCTTCCCGGTCCCAGTTTGTAGTTGTACTGTACCAAGCTCTATGGACAGGACTAGCCGGTGCAACAAGGTTGACGCTTTATATAATTTGAATTTACTTTTTATAAAGGGGCAGAGGTGCGTGCTATCTATGGCCCATTCATTTTGAAAAATTAAATACAAAAATTAAATTTTAAGTTATTTTCATATTTAATTCTAAAATCTTTGTGAACAAAATCGTTATCAGTTTTATAGAAATGCCGTTTCCATAAAGAGTGTTAAAATTACAAAAAAGCTGTAAAACAAGTTGGTCTAAAATGTTATTTCACAGTAACGAAAATATCACAAATTAATGAAATATATAATTTTCCATCACTGTGCTACATTTAGATTTAAAGAAATTTATCTCTTAACTTGTATCTTATCTTTTATTTATCTTTGTTTAGCCAGTGAATCTCAGCGTTTGCGTATACAACAAAATTCAACGATTCACCAGGGTTTCGGACAATAATTTAGGAAGGATGTAACAAGGGGGGGGGATAAGACCAAACGACAGACTTACTCTTATTAATTTTTTTATATGATAATATATTCTTTAAATATAATAGGATCAAAACATAAAATTGAGAGTTTTTTCAAATAAGAAGCATTTCAGTATCTTAGTAAATAATTACTCACAACTAACTTGCGAACGGCTCCTTGGCCCGTTTCATGAGTATGATTTTCCTGTTCTAAAAACCTAGCTGGATTAAAACTTATGAACACATCTAGATATTGCGTACTGTATAGCCTTCACAATGAATAAATGTCGGTTTTAAAATTAAAAAGGAAAGCTGATTTGAACGCAAGCGAATTCAAAGGATACAGTTATGTTATGTATTATTGTAACATGTTATACTTTTTGTTTGCCTAAGTATATTTAAACGATATATTGAAGTTGAGCATTTTAATCCATGGTTTCAGAAAGAATACAATAACAGTGACAAAAACTACTCGCTGCAGGGGTACAATAAAAATAATTTATTATATATTCAAAGTTTAGATTTTTAAAATTTAAAAAAATCAAAATGAGGTGAAAAGGTTTACTTGCCCCTACAGAAGAAAGTTAATGTTGTAAACAAACATGATTTAAGATTCCTCTTGAGTAACCTTATATTCACTTGTTTCCATTTTATCACAGGAACGAAAAGAATCATTCTCCAAAGTCAAATTTTCCTTGAGTATAGAATTGAACGCGGAATTCTCGGATTTTGATAAGTTGATAGACTTGAATATTGACTGGTCGGTTGAGCTCCAGGTATCCTCCTCCTCCTCCAGATGCTTTTTTACACCCAACCCGTCCTGTTTATTGACACGGAGTCCGTCCACCTCGGTGTTGGAATTATCTCCGTCCTCTATTGTATGCTTCAGGGATTCAATCTCACTCCGACACATTGGACAGATCTGTAACTGTAGAGCACAGCCTTCACAAAACCCTCTGAAATATTAATTGTTTTAATGTATTCTCTTTTTTCTCCCATTTTTCTCGTTTTTCCTATTTCATTTATGTGAGGTTACGTTATGTATTTTTAATTACCTGATATCAATATTTTTTTAATCGTGCTTTTTTCTTATTAAAATTTATTTAACTTTTCTTAGCTTTTGATCTCTTTATACTTATCTATGGTGCTCTGCTATATATTCGGTGCTTTTGATACCTACATTTTATCCCTGCTTAGAAATGGTCTGTAATCTATCTATCTACCTATGTTTGCAGGGGAGGAAGTATATTTTACTGCTATCTATCTATCTACCTATGTTTGCAGGGTAGGAAGTACAAAGTTGCTCTGCTTTCTATCTATCTATCTATGTTTGTAGGGTAGGAAGTATATATTGGCTCTGCTATCTATCTATCTACCTGTGTTTGCAGGGTAGGAAGTATATGTTTACTCTACTATCTATCTATCTACCTGTGTTTGTAGGGTAGGAAGTAAATGTTTACTCTACTATCTATCTATCTACCTATGTTTGCAGGGTAGGAAGTATATGTTTGCTCTGCTATCAAAGCATAATGTACATGCATCCTCCTTGATACTGGTTTTCTGAAGTATCGCTAGCCTCAAGGGTCGGGGGAGAATAATCTTCTCATCGTCAGTTAAACTCATCTCCTAAATCAGTTAATTAATTAATAAATCAATCAATCATTCAATCATTTAATTATTAAATCAATTAATCATTCTATTTATTAAATATCAATCAATCAATCAATCATTTTATCATCAATCAATCAACACCCAACCTGATTAAAGGATGAGTAGGATGAGGAAGGAGGAAACTTGAAAGGTTTAGCTCCGAAGTTGAATTCACATTGCTGGAAGGACATGAAACTAGCGGCCGGAAATATTCCAAATCTAAAAAACAAATATAAAAGTTAACATTTCATCAATTTTCACAAAACATTGTAACCGTGTTGAGAAACGTACTTGGCTGTTTTAAAGAGGTGATTGAAGGGAGGGAGGGAATCACCATTCAGAGAGAAGATGACTTTCTCGTCCTCAATATTTAGATAGCAGCCGACAATATCTCCTGTAAAAAATCCAATTCAACTTGGGAAGAGGACTAGGGAAGAAAATAAGTAAAAAAAATCAAAATCCAACAGCAGCAAAATTAGAAGAAAGATACAAAATTTGCTTTTTGAAAAAGGGTTCGCTGCTAAATTTACTACTAAATTTGTACTGGCGTAAAAACTGATATCTAAATCAGGTTCAGTTAAGGAAGGTCCATATATATAATTGTAATATAATGCTATACAAATTGTACCCCATTTTGTAGTATCAATAATTAATTATGAATAAATGAAATAGTAATTTGTAGGAAAACGAAAATCCCCCTTTTCTGAGCTGTGCCTTGCTTAGCTGAGCCTGATTTAGATATAAGTTATACGCCTATTAAAGTATTCAGGATAAATATGAATTGAATCTGTTCCTTGTTTCCAGCGGGGTAAACTGCTCAGGGTCTCAGATACTGCGTTATACCACATCAGCTGCCGACACCTAGACACGGAGCAATTAGTCTGATTCATGGATTAATTAGTCTGATTCATGGAGCAATTAGTCTGATTCATGGAGCAGTTAGTCTGATACATGGAGCAATTAGTCTGATTCATGGAGCAATTAGTCTGATTCATGGAGCAATTATCCTGATTCACTGAGCATTAGTCTGATTCATGGAGCAGTTAGTCTGATACATGGAGCAATTAGTCTGATACACGGAGCAGTTAGTCTGATTCATGGAGCAATTAGTCTAATACAAAAAGCAATTAGTCTAATTCATGGAGCAAATAGTCTGATACATGGAGAAATTAGTCTGATTCATGGAGCAGTTAGTATGATTCATGGAGCAATTAGTCTAATACACAAAGCAATTAGTCTGATTAAGGAGCAAATAGCCTAATACACAAAACAATTAGTCTGATTCATGGAGCAAACAGTCTGATACACGGTCTGATTTATGGAGCAATTAGTCTGACTCATGGAGCAATTAGTCTAATAAACGGAGCAATTATTCTGATTCATGGAGCAATTAGTCTGATACACGGAGAAATTAGTCTAATTCATGGAGCAAATAGTCTGATACATGGAGCAATTAGTCCGATTCATGGAGCAGTTAGTATGATTCATGGAGCAATTAGTCTAATACACAAAGCAATTAGTCTTATTCATGGAGCAAATGGTCTGATACACGGAGAAATTAGTCTGATTTATGGAGCAATTAGTCTGCTTCATGGAGCAATTAGTCTAATACACGGAGCAAATAGTCTGATTCATGGAGAAAATAGTCTGATTCAAGGAGCAAATAGTCTGATTTAAGGAGCAAATAGTCTGATTCATGGAGCAATTAGTCTGATTCATGGAGCAAATAGTCTGATTCAAGGAGCAAATAGTCTGATTCAAGGAGCAAATAGTCTGATTCATGAAGCAAATAGTCTGATTCAAGGAGCAAATAGTCTGATTCAAGGAGCAAATAGTCTGATTCGGAGCAAATAGTCTGATTCAAGGAGCAAATAGTCTGATTCATGGGGGAATTAGTTTGATTCAAGGAGCAATTAGTCTAGTTTTCCGTAAAAATTAATCTGATTGGTGGACCAATGATAAAAAAGTAAAAAGTTGCAAAAACCAGATAATTCTTGAAAATGTATGTGTTCATATTTATGACCTACCCGTCGTATGCTAAGCTGTACTCGTCGTCTCCTATCCCGTATCCTTCATGGTTCAAGAACTTGCTGTTCTTGGTTGCCCAACCTATTTGCATGACACCACTAGTGATTATAAGAACCTCATAGTACCAGCAACCTAGAAAAATATTAGAAGCTTCCAGAATATTTTACAAGGGCACGGAGCAATTTGTAAGTTGGGAGATATTTTGATCAGGGGTATATATTCTTAAAATGATTTAAACTTTCTCCCCACCCCCTTCCTAGATTACTAGGGAAACCCCTTGATAAGTCAATTTTGTAATAGAAAACTAATTAAATTTCCGTAATTCATTAAATCTTACATCTGAACAAAATATAAGAAATCAAGAGGGAGAGGAGTTTTGTTCATCCGCAAATTCATATCTGATATATGATTTATCAAAACAAATCGGAACTACAAAGAATTTGCTTTCGAAAAATTAAAATAAATTTTCTTCGAGCTAATTTAGATCTTTACTCGTGTCAAATTTTTCCTTTTCCTTTAATTCCTCTTCCCTGATAGTTCAAATTTTAATTTCTCTAAGACCCCGCCTCCTCTTTTGGAAGTAAAGAATTTAAGGAGTTTGAGCTAGGTCTAAAGACGGTTGGTTCAAAAACGTATCTTGAATCCCATAGATGAAAACTCCACGGCGGCACTACAGATACGTAGTTGAATCGGAGGTAGGTAGTTTACCGACCTAGCTTAAACTAATTAAATTCTGTTCCTGGATTGATGTATATTGTATATTGTATATTGTACCTGCATCTGCTTGTCCTGTTCCACGAACTGATTCAAAGCTGGAGGCATCACAACGCGCTTCAAGTCCAGTAGGCCCTAGCTTCAGATACTCACTAACAGTTTAGATAATTAATTTTCTTATTTTAAAAATGAATAAATGCGTATCTTGAAATGACCCAACATGTAGAGATTGCAATGCCTGATTCATAAAGGTACCCTTAGAATCTTTATCTGATCAATATTGTGTAAAATAGTCATTTTCTAGAATTATAAGTGTTTATTTTCCGATAAATTCTATATGCTTAAGTGAAGCGGGCATTACCATCTTTGGACTAAGGGTCATTAAATAATATTTTTTGTTTTTGAAATATCTTATATCATTCATGATGTAAAAAATCTTACCTAACATCGTTTGAGTTAAGCATCATGTTGATATTGGAAGTATCTACGCAGTTATACGAGTACTTCCGGTTTTCCACCGGAAGTAGATTATCCAGGCACCACTGTGCACAGAATCCAACTTGTCGGAGTACATAATCCTCCTCGGTGTTCACGAACTTCTCCAGCTGAAGCAAGGGGTTCTCGTCTCCGACGAAAGTTGAAAATCTGTTCCTGAAATTGAGAAGTCATAAAAAGTCGGAAATAAAAATAAAACTCAACAATTAATCCTAGAGGTATCCTGGCTTGACTCCTACTTTAAACATACACTCAGTTAACGCATGGTTGGTTCATAGGTACCTTAATGGGACTGGCGTTCAAGACCGATTCACAAGAATCAAAGGTTGACTTTTAAAATCATTATATACAATTCCACTATACGCAAGATTGGGTCATCATCTATTTTTTCTCTATTTAATTATCTAAATTTAACCTTTCAGGGCGAAAAGAAAGGTGTAAAACAGCCGCAGAAGTTTGTATTGACTATACATTTATGCAGTGTGAACTAATTATATGAACAGCGCTGAAAACTTCAGAATTGTGGATATCGAGATCAATGCTTGATCTTCTCTTTTAATAATCTCAAGATTAATAAAATATGAAAATAAAGATTATATTTATCTTAAGATTAACAAAGAGAAGATTAAACATTGATCTCGATATCCACAATTCTAAATTTAGAAGTAAAAGATTTGGTGTTGTGATCTAGAGATCAAGCATTTATCTTCATATAATAAAACTTTAAATTAGAGATCAAGCATTGATTCTCAAATTTAAAAGCGCCCACATTGAATATCGAGAAGATTAACGCTTAACAAAAGTTCCGATCTTAGTTATTTTAAATAATATCCCATCCGTCCTATCGTCCTATCCTTCCCATCAGTCCTATCCGTCCCATCCGTCCTATCCGTCCGTCCGTCTTACCTTATTTTAGATTTATTTTCACGTGTCTGAGTAAACTTCTCTATAGCGATCAATGAGAACAGAATTAGGGAGGGAGGGTTCTCTACACTCAGGTTCCTAAATATTATGAATGAGAACAGAATAAGGGAGGGAGGGTTCTATATACTCAGGTTTTTAAATATTATGAATGAGAACAGAAAAAGGGAGGAAGGGTTATCTATACGCAGGTTCCTAAATATGTTCATTGAAAATAGGATTATGGAGGAAGGGTTCTCTATCCTCCAGTTTCTAAATATTAACAATGAGAACAGAATTAGGGAGGGAGGGTTATCTATACTCAGGTTCCTAAATATTATGAATGAGAACAGAATAAGGGAGGGAGGGTTTTATCTACTCAGGTTTTTTAATATTGTGAATGAGAACAGAATAAGGGAGGGATGGTTTTATCTACTCAGGTTTCTAAATATTATGAATGAGAACAGAATAAAGGGTGGGAGCGTTCTATCTACTCAGGTTTCTTAATATTATGAATGAGAACAGAATAAGGAAGGGATGGTTCTATATAATAAAGTGGAATTGACCAGGGTATATGAATAGACCTAGTTAAGACATTGAAGAAACTAGAATTAGAAATCTTAGTATTTAATAGACCTAATAGGACATTGAAGAAAGAACCAAGAATTAGAATTAATCTGGGTATATGAATAGATTTAATCAGACATTGAATATGTTAACTAGGATTAGAAGGTATATGAATAGATCTAATTTGACATTGAAGAAATAAGCTAGAATTAGAATTAATCAAGGTACTGTATATTGTATATAGACAATAGAGACCTGATTAGATACTGAAGAATCTTGTCTGTAAGAAGAGCAACACTGTTTGGTCCTGCCAGCTTCTCTGCAATACAACCCAGCACTATCATTATGTTCCTTCTCATACCAATATTTATTAATTAAGAGGGTTAAAGGTGTCCATGAGAAGGGGATATTCTGAAGGGTGTTTCAAGATAAAAATACGGATTGAAAATTAAAAACCAGAAAATAAGAGGGTTTATGTACTGGCAGTGCAGAGGGAGGGAAAAGGGCATATAGAAACAAATGCTTGATAAATTTGAAATTTATAAATACAAAAACCATATTTGGTAATTATATTGATATTATTAATATTCCTATGTTGTTTAGTGTTATCTTCTAATGGTAGAGAATCTACTAACTCCAGGCACTGTAACGCGGCATCTCTACAAGTAAAATATAAAATTCCTTTTATTATAACTGTCGCCATTTTCCTTTTTAGCTTTTTGTCGTTTTGACGTTTGCCGCATTTCTTTCGGTGCCATTATTTTGATATTTTTGTTCTTTTAAACTCCTAAATGACAAGTTCTTGTCTAATAGTGAGTATAATTTTGCATATGACCTTAAGTATTGTCAAGTAAAAGAACACGTTGGCTAGTCCTTCAAGACCTATATATATGTATTAGCTTGGGAACCCAGCGCTGCCAAGGTTACTAAAAGTTACTCCTGCCGTTTACCCGCACTTGAACAACTTTACGGGTAAAATATTAAAGTAGACCAGCTAAACTTAGAATCTCAAAACCAAGCTAAGAAATTCTCGTGGGTCTCCCCAGCTCCCCGATCGAAATTAGAGGCAAATAGGTCCAGAGGTTCTTAAGTTATGATCAGACTAACAAACAGACAGACAAACAGAGATTACAACTTTATATATATAGATATATAACCTTGTAGGTAGAGGACAATCGTCTAGAAGTAAGGACATGACTGCTGGTCCAAGTGGGTCTGAGACTGGTATCACGTGAACAAAAGCACGAACCAACTGGAAATAAGTGTTATTAATACAAAATCATTGTTAGATCAAAACTTTTCTGAGCTACATCATATGTTTTAAAGAGATTTTAGAGTTTATAGAGAGAGTATGGTTTTCAAAAACGTAGATTAAAGGGACCAAACGGATAATTTACAATGGTATCTTTAAAACCTTAATCTTATCAAAAATGTTGAAGATATATTCCTCTTTCTAGGTTTAAAAGTGTTTAGTTCTGATAACTACTGTATGTTTTCCTGCAGTAGAGATGCGCAAATAATTTTTGTAGAGAACCCCCAATTGAAAATAATCAGTTTTCCAAAATCATAAACATTGATATCTAATCCATACTTGAGCAGCTAACGCTTTTAATGGTACCTTGGTAAATCGGACATTGCCAATTGCCGTATTTGCATGCAGGGTCACTTGGAATTGCGAATACAGTCCCTTTAATCTTCTCCTACCTGAATCCATCCTTCCTCCTTCTCTGCTACTGAGTTAAGTTTAATAAGAGAATCTGGAGGATCCTGTTCTATCTCAACCTTGGTTCTAATTACTACCAGAGTCTCCAGGACAAGGTCATCAACCTATACAGGAGCAAGTTCAATTACGGCTTAAGGGTAAGATGGGGGACACCACTCTCTGAAAGATTGGAGGGCCATCCCCATTAGACATATTTGAGGCACCTTTACCCCCTTAAATTTGATTTTTAAGAAGGGATTAAAAAATGGCGCCACCAAATCCTTCTAAAAGGTAACTCGTAAATTGTTACTCCAAGGAAAATTCTGTAAGAGGACACACAAATGTTCCTCCCATCCCCGGCCTTCTCAGGGCGTTGACATAGTAATAACCAAATTCCAGGGGGAGGGGGAATTTTTCCCCTCAGATGGAATAACAAATTTTGACATTTTATGTTTTATTTAATAGCCTTGGAAAAAATCGTAAGCAACCCGGCCCGGCCCTGGGAACATTAATTAGGAGAGCAAAAGAAGTGACCAAGAACGGATCTTATCAAGAGCAGCAAAAAAGATGGGAAACTGAAAAAAAAAAATCTAAAAATATGTAGCTTTGGTCTGAAGTCTACTTACCTGCTTTTGTGTTAAAGCTTCGTAATATTCTTCAGTACAGTGATCTCCAATATATTCTGGAGTATTACAAACCTCGTCGACATTCCTTAATATAATTGTATAAACATTTACACGAGTTTAGAAGTTAACCTAAAAATGGAGTTTTCGAAAACTAATCAAAAAAGGCGAAAGTTCTAACCTTAGGTACAGATTATCCTCATCTTGTGAATCCTTACAGAGACATTGTCCCATCTTTACACTCAGCTCATTATTAGGCAGGACAAACCGCCATCTTTAATCTGAAAACAGTTAAATACACAATTCATATTATCACAGAGATGTAAGTTTAAAAATAAAATAATATACTTCTGGGATTGGACATATCTTCAAATTTTCTAATTTATATTTTTATCATAGGTTTTGTTCTAAAATTTAAAATTCACATATTTTAAAAGTTGCCCGTACTACAGTTTCGCAAGTCATACAATACAAATATAAAAATTTGGCCCTTAAAGGAAGTGCATCTATAAATATTGATATGTGTTGATATGTTGATATATAATGAAAAAGCAAAAAACTTGAGGAAAATTAACAAATTTTATATTCTCTATAATAATAATAATAATAGGTTGGGGGGAAATAAAAATCAACAAATGCACGATAAAACAAATAATTACATTTTATTAAGTTTGGAGGGTTTATTTAGTTCTAGGAGAATTTAATTCAGCTCTAGGAGGGGTTTAATCAGGTCTAATTGGGGTTTAATCAGTTCTAGGAAAAGTTACTTAGTTCTAGGAAGGTTTATTTAGTTCTAGGAGAGTTTAATTAGTTCTAGGAAGGTTTACTTAGTGTTCTAGGAAGGTTTACTTAGTTCTATGAGGGTTTCATTCAGTTCTAGGAGGGTTTCATTCAGTTCTAGGAGGGTTTATTTGATTTTAGGAGGGTTCATTTTTTCTAGGAGAGTTTATTTAGTTCTAAGAGGAGTTTATTTAATTCTAGGAGGGTTTTATTTAGTTATAGGAGGTTTTTATTTAGTTCTAGGAGGGTTTATTTAGTTTAAGTAGGGTTTTATTTAGTTATAGAAGGATTTTATTTAGTTCTAGAAGGATATTATTTAGTTCTAGTAGGGTTATTTAGTTATAGGAGTGTTTATTAAGTTCTAGAAGGGTTTATTTAGTTCTAGAGGGTTTATTTAGTTCTAGAAGGGGTTATTTAATTCTAGGAGGGTTTTAATCACTTCTAGAAGGGTTATGTTTAGTTCTAGGAGGGTTTTATTTAGTTCTAGTAGGGTTTATTTACTATAGGAGTGTTTATTTAGTTTTATTGGGTTTAATTAGTTCTAGGAGGGTTTTAATCAGTTCTAGGGTGGTTTATTTAGTTCAAGGAGGATTTAATTAGTTTTAGGAGGGGTTTTATGTGAATGCTGCCACCACCAGGCATTATTTTGTTCCATTACACGGGAAACCTGAATCATTAAACCATTAGAAAATGAATACTAATAAAACAAATATATTTTTTAAACCTGTCCTTCTAGAATTAATTGTCAAATTAAGTTTATATATTTCATTCAAAAAAAAATCCCGGTCGCTGCCCCTTTTAATAATTTGTTTTACAATAAACATTTTGGAAGATAAACTTTAAATTGTAAATATCTCGAAAATCTAGGTCATATAGTCACAAGCCAATTATGATACAGGGTTACCCACAAAGAATGACACTTAAAAGACGACTTGCATATCATTGAATATAATGTTAAACTTGAATTTTTGCGTTTAATGTAATACTTAATAAATGGTATAATAAGTGATTTGACAAAGAAAAAATAAGTTTAGATTTGCAGGACCCATAACTGGAGAAATAACGACAAAACAAATTGTGTACAGTCGTCTCTGGTGTCTCATCCTTTTTGGGTAATCCTATTTTTACAAACCCCAAAGACATAAAGTGTCCTCAGTCCCCAGTAATCAGAAGAAACATTTCAAAACTAACAATTGTTAAAAAAGAAAATTTTTCTTCTGAAGATAAATTTATTTTCTCCGACTCCACTAACCTCTGATTTACTAAGCCTAAGTACTGCTCCGATAGCCTTGAGCATATGGTTCCTACTGGAGATATCCGTAGATAGCATGTAGGTCAACACCACGTTCTTCAAGTACTCCAGATTAGCGCCCTCGGAGGTCGTCATCCTTTCTAGTCTTGATATTGTATCCTCCAGATCCTCTATTTTCTCCTGGAACAGAAAATTAGAATTTTAAAAATATTTCCAAATTAACAGAAGAATAAGTTTATAAAAGCATTAAATAAACTTTAAAAAAGTAATTTCAACTTTTTAAGTGATCTTACATTTAAACATGGGCATGTCTGATTTTCTTTTTAATGGTTGTTCTAAATTGTGGTTTCTATAGAGATTTAAAATAAAGAAACCATTGGGGAAATTGTTAAAATTAAGCACTTTTTAAGCTAGAAAAAGGACGATTTATTCCACGCATTTGATCAAGTAAACCTTTTAATTATATTAGGCATAGCCAGCTTTCAATAACGCGTTTATTGAAAATAAAACAATAAATAAAAAAAATATCTAATTTATTTTACCTGATATTTCTCCTCCTTTGTTGACATAGTAAGCTGGAGTTCTCGTAGAGTTGTTTCAGTTTGAAACTGCAGTGCTCTCATCTCTTTAATCTCTACCTCCTTCCTACTCAACTCCTAGATATATATCTCCTTAATATCAACCTCCTGCCTACTCAGCTCCTAGATTATATCTCCTTAATCTCAACCTCCTTCCTACTCAACTCCTAAAATATTCAAGTTTATATCTCTTATTTATAACCTGAACGTAGTGAAGAGGAGGTCCACTACTGTTCGGTCCTGCATTCATATCTCCGATATCACAGGAAACCTTTCTAGCAGGAAGAACTAGAGAACTTGAAGACTCTGGTCGTTCAGGACTAAAGAATGCGTCCTCAACAGTTTTCTCCAGGTCTCCAACTAATCTCTGGATCTCAGCATCCTTTAAATAATGAATAAAAAGATAAGAATTGAGCAATTTCCTGTGTATCCATAAAACAGTCGAGCATTATTAAGATAAACAAAATTCGCTTACAGATTAGGATTGGCTTTTATTTCATAATTTCAAAATTAAGCTAATAAATATTAAATACAATGAAGATAGGGTTGAGCTCCGCCACTTACCCTGGTTTGTCTACCCCTCTCCAACAAAGAAAACTTTCAATCACTAGCCTGGAAACCGCATTATCATAACGATTTACTAAATTAATCACCTTTTCCTCCAGGAGAACTAGAGAACGCTCCCTTTGCTGCTGCAGTTCGTACTTTAATATTCCGATCTAAACGGAAAAAATGTAAAAATGACATTTAGAAAATAATAAAACTGTTAAATATAAATTTGATAATTTTCCTGGTTAAGATTTCCGCGTCGCTGTCGAGTTGGCACACTTCCATATAACAGGGGGGGGGGGGGTCCAGGTATTATTCGCAAGGAATGAACCATCATTTTATGATTAAAATACGTTAAGTATTTCACCTGTTTTCTATTCTCCATTCTTTCAATCTCCTTCTCCTTCTCATTTTCCTCCTTTAACTCTAGTAAACTCCTACACTTTTCCTTCAGCTCCTAGCAATGATATTTATTATTTTATAAGCTTAGACAGAAATACCGAAAACACAGAAGGTGTTCACAAAAATGTTTGAATTTTCTAGTTGTTATTTGCTCGAACAAAAATATTATTTGAAGAACTTAATTACCTTTTCCAGTCTTCCCAGCTCAAGTTTAGACTCAGAGAGCCGGGCTTTTAGAACCTCGTTGTATTCCTGATCAATTTATGGTTTAGTATTAAACAGGGTTGATCAATTTATGATTTAGTATGAAATACGGTTGATCAATTTATGATTCAGTATGAAACACGGTTGATCAATTTATGATTTTAGTATTAACCAGGGTTAGTCAATTTATGGTTCAGTATGATTGGGTAAAATCGGAAAGGTTTGAAAAATTGTGAGGCTATATTACTTTTGTGCCTTAAATATGTGAATAAAATGCATATTGCATAAGCTAGCAACCTTTCTCATGGGCTTGCCTTGGGTGCAGGACAATTTAAAACCTCAATTTAAGAGTTTTTCCTCAAGATAGTGAGTTCAGTTACTGAAGCTAAGCGGTATCCCAAGCAAAAATTTTACCCTCTGAACAAATAATCACCTTTATATTTTCTAGCTCTCTAGTCTGAGCTGAGTACGTCAGGAAATCCTCATACATCCCAGGAGCTCCGACTCTTTGCTCCTTCTTCAACTCCTTGATAAGGTTCTCCTGCTCCTGAACCTGGCCCTCCAGGTCCCCAACCTGCTTCCTCCAGATTGTATGGATGGGAAGACTGAACAAATCTTCCAGAAGAGTCTGCTCTATACCCTCCTCGGAGAGTGTCTAAAGAAAAAAAGTTACCAAAAATACAACTTTTGCTACATTTTCCTATCGCAATACTTCTAAGAATTTTAGTTCTGCAGAAATCTAAATGTGGACACTTTTAAATCTAAAAAAGGAGCCTAAGACAATCTTTGAACTTAATATATCTGAGCTGACATTTTATATTAGGGTGACCAAAAAAAAAGAACCAAATCAATCATCCAATCGAATGTCAATCCAATATCGAAATCATATTTAGCTCACCTTTTTATATGTTTTCACATTTTCAATAATCTGTTTAATCTCAGCTTGTTTCAAGTGCTTTTCTTTAATCTCCGGGGGTTCAGTAGATACTGCTCTGGCTGATTAGAAAATAAAGAATAATATTTTATCAAGTGAATATTAAGTAAAAATGAATATTTGAAAAATATTAAAATACCTAACACTGAGTTTTCATCGCTCAACAAATCAATTTTCATTCTAAGTCTGTTTATATCCGTCTGCAGAATTAGAACTTGAAGGAATTTTTGTAAAACAATGTTAAAAATCATAACCCGATCAATTATAGAAAAAAATTTACCCTTGTATTTCAAAAGAAAACATAAAATGAAAATCCTAATTTTGATTCTTGAGATTTTTAATTTAATAATAGTTTCCAAGAAAGTCTGCCCTGATCAGATTCTCTTAATCTCTGATATTCTGCTACACTGGAGGACAGTTCCTGTAACCTATTCTCTAGGTTACCCACCCTGTAACAATATATATATATATATATATATACAGTTCATGTATCCTATTCTCTAGGTTACACACCCTGTAACAATATATACAGTTCCTGTAACCTATACTCTAGATTACCCACCCTGTAACAATATATATAAATATATACAGTTCATGTATCCTATTCTCTAGGTTACCCACCCTGTAACAATATATACAGTTCCTGTATCCTATTCTCTAGGTTACCCACCCTGTAACAATATATATGTATATATACAGTTCATGTATCCTATTCTCTAGGAGGTTACCCACCCTGTAACAATATATACAGTTCATGTATCCTATTCTCTAGGGTACCCACCCTGTAACAATATATATATAGTTCCTGTACCCTATTCTCTGGGTTACCAACCTTGTAACAATAATAATATATATAGTTCCTGTAACCTATACTCTAGGTTACCCACCTTGTAACAATAATAATATATATAGTTCCTGTAACCTATACTCTAGGTAACCCACCCTGTAACAATATATATATATGTGATTTTGTGATTATGTGGGATCAGATCTGCAAGAAGCCCCATCTTGGGCAACCCAGACTGCCTAATGGACTATCCGACCCGTACCGGTAAGAAAAATCCTGAACCAGCCCGACCACCTACTACGAGGAGGGGTACAACCTGGAGGAAAGGCGTGATCAAAGTCACAATGCGTACCCTGCAACAGCCTATCATTAGCTACAACCGATTTTACCTGGTTAAAGCTGAGCGGTTGCTAATTTCCACTCTTCAAGGACTGTCAAGGTCCAATCTCCTCTTGTCATCATTGTAGCAACGTCTGCACCATTCCCCCCCCTCCAGGAATTCTATCATCATAGCATGCTCAGTCATTAATGGAAGCCGGGCCTCCAGGAAAGCATAGATTCCAGTGGCCCCCCTTGCATGTCCTGATCCCAGACATTCAAGGATGACATGCAGCTTATTCAGCAGCACCCTGATAACCATTGCTGAGCACCAAGGACTTTCTTTTTACGTTAAACCCAGATGATTAGGACGGCGATTTCCTGGGCCTGCATCACCTGCTCTCATCTGGTTCAAAACCGCACACTGCTTTGAATCATTTATGTGAGACTGCAGTTTGAACCAGTCCCTAGGCTCTGTCAGCCATCGCAGTGAAGAGTGTCCTCCTTTCGCCTGCCGAAGCTGGGAAACATGGTGCTCCAGCATCCGTCTCTTGAGCATTCTCTTGGATATATTCTTCAGGTCCTGTGCTCCAACCACTTCCAGAATAGCTTGCACTCTTTTAGTCCAAGGGTCTGTCCGATCAGCCAATGTAGTATCAACTACTGACTTTGTAAGCTGATCTTTTCTCCCTGTTATAAGAGTATGAGCAAAAAGCACAGCTTTTGTATCCAAGCGCTGCTGGATGGACTGCAAACCTGCCTCCATCCATCCCATTACCTGGGAAGATGACTGGGGAAGCTGCAGGATGAACGAGGCAACTAAATGTTGGATTTTCTCCAGTTCCTTAACTGTGGATTTGGATATGACCATTGCCTCTGTTCCATACAAGAATCCTGGGATTGCACAGGATTCCCATAGCCTATAGGCTGTCAGAACTCTATCCAAGCCTGACCCTGTGCAGCCCATGATAGTGTGAGCGTAAGTGCATGCTCCCCCTATCATTTTGGACTTGCGAGGTTTGATTAGATTTCTGCCCTGTATATTAATTTCGATACCAAGATATTTTGCCACCATGGCCTCTTCTATATCCGGTTCTCCCTCAGTAACTTTCCAGCTGTTCTGGTTTGTTCCATAGGCTAGGATTACTGTCTTCTCCACAGCCAACTTCATATCCATATCTGTAGAGAATTTATGGACAGCTTTCAGAAGTCGATCCATGCCTCTACATTTAGAGATGAGGACAAGGTCATCTGCAAAGAACATCGTGGTAATATATACTCCATTGAAATGCACCCCCTCTTTCATAGAGTGCAGGACCTTTCCAAGTCCTGAAATGTACAAGGAGAAGAGCAGGGGAGAGAGAACACAACCCTATTTAACCCTCCGAGTAAACCATAATGGGCCAGATAAACCTCCACACAATCTAACCCTAACATTATCATTAAAGTACATAGACTGGATTAATCCCTTGACTTGTCCACCAAACCCGAGAGTCAAGCTTAAGGTACATAAGCTCTCGATTCACAGAATCATAAGGCTTTGTTATGTCACAGAAAGCTAAGGAAATTGTATGATTTTTCTTTTTTGCTCTCCTAATAGCCGCCAGCAGGATAAAAACACAATCTGAAGTAGATATCCCCTTCCTGAATCCAAACTGCACCGGGCCGTAAAAACCCTCTCTTTTACAGATCAGATCCATTCTAGCATGAACTATCTTTGTTATCAGATTGAGTAACACACTGGACACTGTAAGAGGTCTTTTACCCGACACAAGCAGGGAGGGTTTCTTCTTATCTATCAAAGTTATTTTTCCTGTCAGAAGAGATTCAGGTACCTTTCCTTCACGAAGAATATCATTGACTAGAGAAGTAATAACGGTCCAATCGAGGTTTATGAAGGTTTCGCCCTTTTCCGACAAAATGATTTTGGCCTATCTCAATCATATGCTGTTATATCGTGGAGTATGAATATTCTTAATGCCATTGATCCCGTCCAAAACCCTGGATTTTTATATGAGGCACATGCTGATCTAATGAAGGAAATTTGTTTGAACCCCCCACCCAAGGAAGACTTGATAGGATTTATTGCCATCCCACCCGTCAAACAAGAATTTGCTGTCTATGAGAAGGGTCTGCTTTTCCACGGAGTACAAGAGGAGTACCTTGATAGCACAATAATTAAACCTTTGATTTATTCCGGGTTTTATAAAAATATAACGAGCAAACTACAGAGTAGAAACATACAATTAGGGTTAGAAAACGAACTGAATTCACTTCCACAGCTTGAGGATTTTATTGAACCTCCCATTGTCCTGACCCAAGCTAATCTAGCCAATAAAGAGAATTTTCTAAATGTCCTACCTTTCAGCGGCCATGAAGATATTAATTCGCGAGTTGTAATAATAGGTCATTCAAACATGTCGAAGCTATGTACATCCCTTGGAACCGTCCTTGATGGCGAACTAGTTTTTGTAAAGTGCCGTCTAAAGCTAACCTCAACTATGTCTGAAATCAAGACCTTTTTTGACGAACAAGATTTAACTGAAAATGATACACTAGTACTGGGTATGTATGGTAATAGCCTGCTGCAAGGCACTGTTAAACAGCGTTATAATGCTCCTAAACCCTCAGGAGAGCCGGCAAGTTTTCAGATTGAAAACGGTAAGAATGGCGGAGTTTTTCATCCTTTAAACGCTGCAGGCTATGACCCTATGTACATGAATCTTTTTGGGGACCACCTGATTAAAATTATGGCAATCCTTACTCCCCGAAGAATCAAAGTTTGTGTAATAACCCCCCTTCCTAGATATTATCAAAGATGTTGCGACAAAGCTTGGCATTTTGACCCTTATTTCAATGCGGGGGATTTCAATGCCGAGGTCATAAGACTCGGTGTATTTCTGAGTAGATTACCATGTATGATAAATACCTTGTGTATTACCCCAGAGGACATTTGCTCAAGGGATTCCTGGATGTCGAGGGGTGACATGCTGCAACATGATCTAGTACATCTCACACCAAAGGGCTTGATTTTGTTGAGAGATTTAGTATATAGAGGGATAATTCATCTCAATTCTGATTCAAATCCTAAACCCTGCTCAGCGGGAGATTGCACCATGCCCGAGGGCCTTAAATTCGCCCAATGGGTGGAGGGGTTCAGGGAGAGTTGCGGCTACGATACTCTCGTGGCAACAAGTCTCGCTAAACGAACTTACCCCGTTGCTGCGGCGAAAAGTTCAAAAAAAAAATAATAACTTGAACTTAAACCGCTCACTGGAGATAAGTTGTCTTAGAAAATGTTTCTCATTCCTTTGTCATGTTTGATTCAGTAATTCGCGTCAACCCAGTGCCCTTTTGCATAATGAAAACATGAAATCTGAGATTCTGTCCCTCGTCTCAATGTGAATTAAAAATATACACGGTTTAAAGAATGTCAGGATAATTTTTTCAACCCCTACAGCTCGGATCTCTAAATGCCTCATTTTAAGAGAATACTCTGTGGTAAGATTATAATCTTGGAAAAAAAATTTTATTTTCAGTTCCGCTGCAGGAAAACCTCCCCTCTAACTGCCCTTAAAATGAGCAATCTTATTTTAATTCTGGACAGGTTAAATTAACCCACTTTAACACTTTCACCTAAATCAATGCAATAATGTAAACCTACTTAACCATTCGCAATTCAATCCATGATATCTGAATGAATTGGGCGATTGATTGATTTGTTGATTGTTTGATTGTTTGATTGACTGATTGATTAATTAATTGATTGATTGATTGATTGACTGATTGATCGATTGATTGATTTGTTGATTGATTGAATGGTCGATTGATTGATTGGTCGATCGACTAAATGAATGTTACTGTTACTGGTATTCTTTCTTACTGCCTTTTCTTTATAATCGATTTTTCGACCAAGTCTCTAATACAGTTCATGAAATCAAAAAAAAGTAACCAATTGTCGGTTTTACACTTTTCTCCTAGCAAAAAAAAAATAATCTTCTGAAAATTTTCAAAAAATCTTACTTTCTTCTTTTTCTTCTTGGACGAAGTATTAAACCTATTGTTTACCAACGGATTGATAAACTCTCCTCAATCCCTTGATCGNCCAGTAAAATTTTAAAAAAAAACTAAAAAATTCTACTTTTTTGTTTTTTTTTGATCTGACAGATTGATTCTACGAATTTCCCATCTCTTTTCCATGACAAACATTATAGCTCAAAAATTCTGCCCGTATCGTTTTTTTTTCGAAGGATTGATTGATTGATAATTTTTTTTCAATCTTTAAAGGAGTAAATTGGTGCCCTCTGAAAGGTATGCCCTAGGAGACTCCACATCCTGGTTCTCACGACGACGTACACCCTCGGAGAAAAATAACTTAACGGTAAAATCAGCTCTATTTATAGCAAATTAAACCTTGGACTGTGTTATTTATATCTTAGGATGTACGAGAAATTTTTAAACTGGAAGAAGAGTAGTTCTAAACAGGATCATGTATAATTTCCATCTTACATACTAGTATATCATACGTCGTACAATTTTGACACATACTAGACGATCCGCTACGTATGCCGACATATTTAATAAATGATAAACACAATAGACTCTTCAGGAAATATTTCACTAATATAGCGTGTAAACTCGGCCTGATGAATCGGCTCTGGATCGCCGCCATACTGTATACTCAATATGTACGGTAAAAGAGTAAGGAAATATACAAAACATATACCCAAACATACTTGAATATAATTTTTAGGTTTAGCCGGAGGATTTTGCTCTTGAAATGTATGTACATATGAATACTAATATGCACCTCAATATCACGTAGCGCTAACAGCCTGGAATACTAATGTATTATATAGGACGGAAAAATGTACACCTACAAATAGCTATGTCAAAGGTGTAATTTAAACTCATACGTTACTGTGCAGGCATCTCCGAAGAGCCGATGGAAAATCAGATGTGAGGACCAGAGATATTCCTATACACAAGATGCCACTCTTAAACCTACTCAATCGATCAACATCATCCATTATAAATTGATCTTTTCAATCGAGCATACTTTTTGTTTTTGCATTTCTGGTTAAAACAAACTTATCAGAAGTATCGATATTTTGCGTGAAATACGCCCTAAAAGTTTCATGTTCTCCTTATTTTGGATTGTTAAAATTTAAAAAATCTCTCGCACGTCAGGATCTTACTATATATTGAAAAGAGATAAAGAAAACGAGAAATATTTTAAACACAGAGTAAAATATATTTCTCTGTATGTAGGAAAAGTTGTTTCTGTTAAAAGATATTTGCTCATCCATATACAATACTTAATTTAAATCATTGCAGCAAAAATGTTGAAAATAAAGACCAGATTTAATTTAGATACTTAATGCAGTTTAAATAATGTTACGGTTTCTATCTATTTTTACAGTTAAATCATCACAGCAAAAATGTTGAAGATGGAGACCAAATTCATTCATTTGAGATATTTAATGCAACTTAGATAATGATATACTTGATATTTTTACCGTTCATCCCTCGAATATTACTAATAGTAAAACTTGCTTTAAAATAAAGCTCATATATAATTATAAAAAGTGCTTTTTCGTAACAAAATCTCTTGTAATCATAACATGTAAATTTTGTAAAATTCAATAATCTTACGAAAATAAAAATATTTCGTTTCAAAATTTTCTCTCCAATTGTACTCTGACTTAGCGTGAGATTCTTTAATGATCTGTTCATTTCTATGTGAGAATATTGGGGAGTGCTTCCCCGAGAAGATTAGGGCTAGTTGTTCCAGAACAATTCGCTCTACAACCTCTCTATTTGTTATTATATTACCATTCACATCTCTTATTGCTGATAAGCCGCCTCTTTTCCTTTCTGCTCTCCTTACTAAGGCCCAGAACTGCTTGGAATTTACCTTGATTGTCAAACGCCATTTTAATCTTTTATCTGCCTTTTTTGCCTGACCCTATCCCTAAACTGTATTCTGAGCTCTTCAGCTTCATTTTTATCTGACTGCCAGTTCGGAAAAAGGGTTTAAGGGTCTAAGCCATTAGCCTTTGCCCAATGCAATCTTCTTGTTTTACTTGATTCAAGTTTAATACACCTTGTACTCAGCTTTCTAACTGATTTGCATGTAGCAAAAGTTCTTGGCTTCTTTAAATAAACATCATGTCCAGTTCATTGAGCTGCCTTTACTGCAGACTCTTGAAACAACATGCATTTTTCTTCTATATCCATACTGGGATTAGATTGCTCTAACAATAGCCTGTCTTTGTTTGGGGGTGATATAACCCTGGTCCTGAATTATCCCCATGTTCAATTCTATTAGTACTGAAGAATTATCACTGCCCCAGAGCACTTCTTTATTGGAATCAATTGTCATTTGCATGATTAGTTCCTCTGAGTTCGAGTCAGCTAGTACATAATCTATACATGTCGCAGAGTTACTGTTTGTCCTTGTAAACAATCCTGAACATCTTGTCTTATCTGCATTAATCATTATCAAACCGTTACTATCAATGAAATCTCTGAGCAGTTTTCCATTATAGTTGATATCAGGGCTATTTCCCTCAATATCTCTGTCATCGTTTCCCACGTGACCATTTAAGTCGCCTAATATAATGCAATCAAAACCTTCGCCTTTTATTGTTTCCATTTCATGTTTAATCATGATGTACAGTTCTTTGTTCCATATCTTAAACTGTTCATTTTGAACTTCTGCTGCACAATATACTGAACAAAAAGCTATTTGCCGCCCATTCTCATGAACTAGAATCCATGATCGTTCAGCTTCAAGATGGAGGAACATAACTAGTCCTGGATCCCATCTTGTATGGTTTAGGTCAGGTCTTAATATCGTCATTTTCCCCCCCTCCTTTTTTACTACCAAAAGACCGTTCTTTGGTGTAGGTAGTAAAATTTTTGAGACATGACAAATTATCATTATTACCATGTTGTAAGAGAGTTTTATCTATGAAACATAGATCTAAATGTTCAGAATTGAGGACTTCTGCCAGAAGTTCGATTTTTGTATCTCGCAGAATACCATTGGCATTCCAATAAACAACTCCTAAACATTGGTTTTCCACCTTGTTACAATAATAATAATATAGTTTCTGTAACCTATTCTCTAGGGTACCCACCCTGTAACAATAATAATATATATAGTTCCTGTAACATATTCTCTAGGGTACCCACCCTGTAACAATAATAATATATACAGTTCCTGTAACCTATTCTCTAGGTTACCCACCCTGTAACAATATAAACAGTTCCTGTAACCTATACTCTAGGGTACCCACCCTGTAACAATAAAAATATATATAGTTCCTGTAACCTATTCTCTAGGGTATCCACCCTGTAACAATATATATATAGTTCCTGTAACCTATTCTCTAGGTTACCCACCTTGTAACAATAATAATATATATAGTTCTTGTAATTTATTCTCTAGAGTACCCACCCTGTAACAATAATAATATATAGTTCCTGTAACCTATTCTATAGGTTACCCACCTTGTAACAATAATAATATATATAGTTCTTGTAACCTATACTCTAGGGTACCCACCCTGTAACAATAATAATATATATAGTTCTTGTAACCTATTCTCTAGGGTACCCGTTCTGCACACACTGCGAATTTCTTTTACCTATTCTCTTGTTGATTTTGAAGCTCAATAGCACGCAATTCAGCAGCTTCTCTTGCTAGTTCAGCAGATCTAAGCTGCTCCTGGTGCTGCTGCCGAACCTCGAACAGCTCCTGCTGAAGCTGCCGCAGCTGTTGTTTGGTTGAATTCTGATCTCGCAGCTGTTCCTCGGATTTATTAAGTTTTAGTTTCATCTGCTCCAGTTCGTTTTCCACCTCCTTGAGTCTAGTCTCCTCTACTAGACTAGACCTGGTAGTCTGGATACTGATAGCTCCAGTTCTAAACCCATGGAGTTCATCATTCAGCTTCTCTTTCAGGTTTCTTTCATCAGCTAGAAGTTTCTGCAGCTCCTAGAATAATCAAATACAGATTCAATACAGACGAAATAAAGAATATTTTCAAAAAAGCATGTTTACTTTTGAAATAAAAGTAAATATTAGCAAACTTCGTTTGTTTGATTTCTGACAATTTTGCAACCAAAGCTACTTTTAGTAAAATTGTCTCAAAAAATAAAAAAAGATTTTGCTTCTATTTGCGAAAAGGTTGCAACTGAATAAAGATAAGAAAAAGACTTAAAATATTTATTACCTTCATCATAAGTTTATTGTTATTAGTTTCCTGCTCCCGTTCATGTCTCTCGACAATTAGTTTAGATTTGAAATCTTCCAAATTCTTCCTGCATGACAGAATATCTTATCAATAGTGTACTTTCCGGATATTAATGAGACCAAAGTTAATTTTTTATTCCTAAATCTAAGATTTGAAATGATATAAGTGACGTAAAAGTAGACGGGATTCAAAACTAACTAACCAGGTTAAACGTCATGTTAAGTAGGCCGAGCACAGCAGCCATCTTTGCAGGTTTGTATGTAATGTTATACACGTCAAATGTTTTTTAGAAAAAGCTAAGAAGGAAGTATAATAAGAAATCTTAAAATTTATGAAAAAGATTTTTAATTGAACCTGAGGGACTCATCTGCTGCCTTGAGATTGTTCACTTGAATGATCAGCTCATCCTTCTCCTTCTTCAACCTTCTCCTCTCCGCCAGGTACTTGGCCTCGTTCTGGGCCTTCTCCTGGCTTATACTGGCTAAACAGAAACATTGGGTTAAAGGGACTGTTTTAGATATTTCGGAATAAAGGAGGAACAGAGTCTAAAATTGTCTTAATATTTTCAATATTATCAAAAAAATTATTTGCAATTGTAAATACGAAAATTAAAACCACAATACTCAGTACTCATAAAGTGATGATTTCAAAATAAAAAATATCACGATTGAAATATTTAATTAGAAAAATTGGGCAATTAACAAATGCCCTAAAGTTGGGTAAATTTGTGCAGCATATTAAGGGTTTGTTTTACCTAAACTTGATGAAAGGGTTCCAAGCCTAGACTTGAAGTTAGCAGTATCAGTACTAGTCTGAGAATCTGCTGTAGACTCAACATCGCTTACATCCCCTTCACCTTCCTTGCCCTTAGTAACACAATTATATTAATACTATAATATAATAATTATATTAAACTGTAAGCGTAATTTCAAGTGACCCTCCATGCAATGACAATGACAATGCATGATTTACAACGGTACCCTTAAACGCTTTCTCTGGTCAAGTATGAATTAAATATCAATGTTTTTTTTTCTCTCGACTTTTTTTTTCATTTGCGGTTTCTCTGCGAAAGTGACTTTCACTTGCGCGTTTCTTGCTTATAAAAAGGAATAGAGATAACAGATACTCACCAAAATTAACACTTTTAGCGTCAGATTTTATCTTCCACATTTTTTATCAGCGAAAAGTTCAAAAGTACCGTTGTAAATCTGGCATTGGCGCAGGGAGTGTCTCTTAAAATTGCGGTTAGTCTCATTAAAATGTTTTAAATTGATTCGTCGATGACAACTACGCAAGAAATCGAGAGGTTGGGGAATCTTCAAATATTTACAGATATTTAAAGCAGAGTATGTTTTGTAATGAAGATAAAAGGGTCTGTCTTAGAGAACGATTTTGGGACCCCCCCCCCCCTCTCCTCCTATCATTTTTTACATGACCACTTATTTTTCAGCAAAATTATCATTGTTTAATTTAATTATTTTAGGGTTAGGTTAGAAAACAATTTTGGGCCGAGCTCTGCGGCTAGGACAGGCTAAGGAGGCCGAGCGCTGCGGCTAGGACAGGCTAGGGGGCCGAGCGCCCGGGCTAGGACAGGCTGCGGCCACATGATCAATGATATCCATGTGATACACATTATAGCCATGTACAAGATTAATAGGAGGGGGGGGGGAGAGGGGTCCAAAAATCGTTCTCTAGGAAATTAACCGATAAAAATCTAGTGGGTCGAGAAAAAATTATAGAATTATGAATGTAAATAAAAATTCTGATCTGAGCAGCAAATCTTTTTATACCTGTTCATCAGTAGCAGCTGCAGCTGTAATAACTTTGAGAGAGGTTTCAAGAGTTTCTTTCTCCTTTACCAATCCTTTATAAGCTCTAACTACGTCCTTTAGTCGAGCTTCGTATCTACAAAACAAAAAATAACAATTTTCAAGAACTTTTTAGGGTTAAATATATATCAAATCAAATCAAATCAAATCAAATTATATATTTAGCCACAAACTATACATGTAAAAATGGATATTCATAATTAACATTAGTTGAAATTACAG